TTCCTTGAAGGAGGCCTATGTTCAGCAGCGGACTTGTGAAGGGCTGTAATGATCATGAATAATGGTTCGTTGAAGGTCATACAAGTTTACGCACCAACCTCGGCACATCATGAGGAGGTGGAGGAAATGTATGAGGATATCTCTAAAGCCATGCACTCCTCCAAAACCCACTATACTATAAAAATGGATGTATAGACACAATTTTCAACTTTACACTTTTTTTCTTAGATATATTGCATACAAGCTGTTAATAAAACACTTTAATGTTGTGAGTCTTCTTGTAGTTTATCGAATACTAATGTTTCAACGAGTAAAGACATACAAATTAATTGTGTTTTAGAAAAAAATAGTATGTTTTTTATAGGAATCCGGGGTTAATAGTTACGTCATAGGAGTGAATAGAGAAAAAATGCTAGGGTTGTCAAATTTGCTTTTGTTGTAGTATGTACTTTGTGTCAAATAAAAAATAACTATATCAAAATTTGTTATTATAAAAAATAATTAATTGATAAATTCTGTATTTATACAATTATACATTATATAACTTAAAAATATCAGAGTTATATAATTTAACCGCTTTGCAGCACAAGTATTTCCTACATAAATCCATTAAATAATTAAAAGCCACTGTTTACATAGTTGTGAACATATCTTTTTTAAATAATGAGAATAAAAAAATGTTTCAAATTTTTTAAACTATATAACACTAATTATAATACTACGTGTTTTGATTAATAACCTTTGGTTATTTTAAGTAGTTAGTAGGTAACAAGGCGATATCAAAAATCACTATTACTTATTTATAAAATTATGTAGCACTAACTCCTATAAAAAAAAAAACATAAAAGTCAATTGACATAATTGCGGGACTTGAGCCTGATAACTTGCGTCACACGTATTCGGCACCACTTAGATACTTTTTTAACTCGTATGCCAAGCGTCTCTGGTAAACAATAAAATACAAATATAATGAATGATATATTTACCTATTAGATAGAACTAATTTATATGAGCACACTAAGTAAATATATTAATGCAGGAACTTCTGTTTGGTGTAATGGTGAAATCTCAAGTATCTGGAATTTTAATGTATAACAAATATCAAAGTTTAACATTTATGATAGAAATGGATTTTCAAATATATTTAACATTTTAACATGGTTTAAAAGTATTTTTTGAAGTTAGTACTTCTTTTGGCGCGTTTGAGAAAAATGATGAAAGTGAATTTATTACGATGCGCGCGCACACCGTCACCTAAAAACGACACCATGAAGTAGTTACGATGCGCGCGCACACGGAAACCTAAAAGCGACAACTTCAATTGGTAATTGTCTGTCAACTGTCAAGTTTTCGTGAGAAGTGATAACTATATTCATGGTAGTTATTTTTAAGTCATTTTTGTTTTGTTATAGGCATCTTATGCGATAACAATAGCATAGCAGCTATTGTTTACAATATATAATATTGTTTACAAACAATAGTATAGCAGCATAGCTCTACCACGTATTGGTAGAGCTATGCTGCAGTTATATTAGTAGTATAGTGGTAGCACAAATGGGTCGGCTTGACCGGGGAAGGAACACGCTCTCACAGAATACCAGCGTAAAATAGCAGCTTAACACTGCTGTGTTTCGTATGGTATAGAACCGGAGATCCTTTTTACTGGAAAAGAGGCATTCCATCTTAGTCCTCACGGGGGACAACGCATCTGCATTTTGAATCGTAATCGAGGATAGATGTAGATGTCTATGGGCCACAGCAACCACTTACCATCCGGTGGGCTGTTAGCTCGTTTGTCACCCTAAATCTTAAAAAAAACACATCCAACCATAAACACTTATTAAGAAAACTACATATTGAAACTTATTTTATTATTAGAATAAAGTATGTAGCAAAGTTGCAGAATATATTTAAGTACTCACAACATTTTTACAATAAAATATTTTTGTTTGAAAGATTCTCAAAAATTTACATCGTAGTCTTGTTTAATACCTTTTTAGTACACGTTTCCTGTTGCAGTTTGTTTTTAGTTATTAACATTTAATTACTATACATCATAAAACGCATATAATTTTTTTAAGAACAGAGTTTCTTTCAGGGAATTTATTTTAATAATTCATGTATGAACCAAGTAGTAGGAACACATTTCTGTCTAAGAGGTCGCTTGGATAGGTATCACTCTCTTACCTAGTACGGGTATAAATTCAGGGCGTAAGGCATTCCGTTACAGTTCATAAACCAAAAACTTTGTTTGAATTTAGCTTAGTCCAAAAACCATTGTTTGAATTTAGCTGCAAGTTTCCACGGGCTGCAGTAACAACATACCATCTTCAGATAGACTGTAAGTTCTATTAGGTGGATACTTCAGTTTTATAAAAAAAAAACTATAACTAACAAAAATTAATAGAATTAACATTTTTTATAACATGTATTTTCGGAATGTCGATAACATTCTGACATACCCCTTTTATTGCAAATAATGTTATTTGTTAAAACATGAGCGTCAAGAACAACACAAATATATAAAAATACTTGAAAAACGGCTTGAAAATTTTGAAAGAAACACGTGTGCTGACAAAATTGAAATTCGTAATATCCCAAAAATTCAAAATGAGTCAAAACAGGAACTTACTACAGTGATACAGAGCATTGGAGATCTTATAAATATCCCAATTTTAACGACGGATATAAAAGATATACATCGAGGATTCGCCAAACCTCATTCGCCTAAGCCCATTGTGGTTGAATTTATAGCCGTCCTTAAGAAGGAGAATATATTAAAAGCTGTTAAGAATTATAACAAAACTGAGAGTGAAAAGAAACTTAACACATCGCTTCTGAATTATTGTGTATTAACTCATCATTGTGTGCGTGCTGACAACACTATCATAAATTCTAAATTTAGAGTGGTATTTAATGCTTCGTGTAAAACATCATCGGGGAATAGCTTGAATGACGTCATGAAATGTGGTACTAATCTCCAACAGGATCTGCAGTCTCTCATAATCAAGTGGAGGCAATATCAGTTTACATTCACATTGAAAAAATATTCAGACAGATTTGTATCCACCCCGATGATCAGCAGTTATTAAGAATCGTTTGACGTGACTCGCCCTCAGAACCTATCAAAGACTATCAACTTACCACGGTCACATACGGAACGAAAGCAGCGCCATTCCTAGCGATGATGACTCTAAAACAGCTTGCATGTGATGAACAACCTAACTATCAAAACAGTCAGGCGATCGTCGTATTAAACAACTGTTTTTACATGGATGACCTGGTCCATGGGTGTCACGATATAAGAACCGCACGTCAATTATAACAAGACCTTATCAATTTATTAAAATCAGCTGGATTTCATTTGAGGAAATGGAGATCAAACTCCGATGACTTGATCAGAGAGGAAGAGTCAGCTCTATCAAAGAACGACAACTTTAATTTCAAGCAATCAGCGCAAACAAAAACCCTTGGGTTAAAACGTAACGCACAAAAGGATGTTTTTATGTTTCAATCAAATTTAGAACCGACGGAAGTCTCCAACAAGGTCACAAAGAGAAACCTTTTATCAGACATATCAAAAGTTTTTGACCCGCTCGTTTGGCTATCACCACTATCAACTAAGTTAAAAATTATTTTTCAACAAATGTGGGCTGCAGATAATATTAACTGGGATGATCCTATACCGAACGAAGTATATGTAGAGTGGAAAAAGATCAGAGAGGACATGCACAATATTCAAAACCTTCAGTTACCTCGATGGATGCAGATCAATGAGTGCGACAATATTGAGTTACATGGGTTCAGTGACTTATCTGTCAGAGCTTATGCATGTGTGATCTATTGTCTTATTAACAAGGGCAATAAATCATCAGTAGTGTTGGTGACCGGCAGAACCAGGTTTTTACCAACCAGCAAGACAGTCGCGTTACCGCGGTTGGAACTGAGCGGAGCACTACTCCTATCAAAGCTAATGGGTAAAGTCCAAGAGTGCCTTAGTGGGTACAATATCAAAATATATGGTTGGAATGACTCCATGGTAGTACTAGGGTGGCTCAACGGAGAACCAACCAGATGGAAAACGTTTGTGGCAAATAGAGTTCGTATAATAACCGAAAATATGTCACCTGGCTGCTGGAGGTACGTTAAGTCGGAAGAAAACCCAGCCGACTGTGCGAGTCGTGTTCTAACTGCATCACAACTCAAAGGACAGACCTTGTGGTGGCTAGGCCCGACTTGGCTATCAACATTTAATGACCAAGGGCATAAGATCGCTTATACAACAAACAAAGAATTAAAGTTATCAAAAACAATTTTAGTAGCACAACATCAACCTGATTTTATCATTCAAGAAATCCTATCAAAATATAGCACAATTAACAAAGCGGTAAGGATAGTAGCATGGATTCGGAGATTTTAACTATCAAAAAAGGACAAAATATAAATTATCTAACAGTACGAGAGTTGAAGGAAGTTATTAATTATCAAAAATATACAACAAACGAGATTTGAAAGAGAGTTGTCAGATTTGAAGCAAGGAAATAAAATAAATCGAAAAAGCAACATTTGTGAATTAAATCCGTATATTGATCAAGATGAAGTATTGAGAGTTGGTGGGAGGTTGCGAAATGCCAATCTGGACCCAGACATGAAAAATCCTATCATTATACCCGGCAGCAGTCGCCTTGCTGAGCTTCTTATAGATCAGGCGCATGAAATGACATACCATGGTGGTGCTAGGCTAACATCAGCCAACTTAAGACAAAAATACTGGATCGTCGGTGGCAACAGAGCTACAAAGAAGAGATTACGTCATTGTATCAAATGTAGAAGGCACGAACGAACCAAACACTATCAAATTATGGGTGATCTTCCAGCAGCTAGAGCAAAACCTTCATGCCCCTTCCATTATATCGCTGTACACGGGCCACGTGTTTATCAAGGCTAACTCAGGCCGTGGTATCAAAACTACGAAAGGTTATATCGCTGTGTTCACGTGTATGGCCACAAAGGCTGTACATTTGGAGTTGGTGTCTGACCTGACGAGTACTGCATTCTTAGCAGCGTTACGGAGAATGACAGCTCGCCGTGGCAAACCTAATCACATTTATAACAATAATGGCACGAACTTTATTGGAGCCAATAAGGTTTTACAGCATGAATACGAAGAGTTCCTCAAAACATTTGGTGATGAGTTTCTCTCAGAAGTGTCCGAGATGGGCATAAATTGGCACTTTAATGCACCTTCATGGCCATCAGCCAGTGGTCTTCGTGAAGGAGCCGTGAAAAGTCTCAAGTATCATCTAAGGATGGTGGTTGGTGATCAAAAACTAACCTACGAGAAGTACAGCACGCTGCTAGCATAATTAGAAACTTGCTTAAATTCGAGACCACTATGTCCATTGATGGAGGACGCTGATGATTTAAATTATTTATCATTTTATGAGACGGAACGAGATCTTAGGACTAGGTGGCATTTAATACAAAAAATATTCCAAGACATTTGGAAAAGGTGGCAACAAGAATATTTAACAAATCTATCAGCCCGGAGCAAGTGGCGCCAACCTCAAGAAAATATCAAATTAAATGACATCGTACTCATCAATGATGGTAACCTTCCTCCAGACAAGTGGGCGCTAGGTAGGGTGGTCGAATTGCACCCTGGTAATGACGGCTACGTGCGTGTTGTGACGTTAAAAACCAAAAATGGTTATATGAAAAGACCTGTTATTAAACTATCAATACTATGATAGGGATATCTCAAAAGAAACAAAAGATCAAGAATTAAAGCAAGCGAAATCAACGAAGAGTAAAATAAAATAAAGGAATAATGACGGCTCCGTGTCGCAGTGGTTTAGCAATCAGTTGTTGCGCTGGGGGCCGCGGGTTCGAATCCCGCACAGAACAGGTATTTGTATGGCCTACAAATAATTTTTCCGAGTCTGGATGTTTGTACTTGTGCAATTTATGTTCGTAAACTGCCTCCACGACACAGGAGAAAATCCTAGTGTGGGGTGGACGTTTTTTTAAAAAGATAAGAAGAAAGAAGAAAGATAAAGGAATAGAAGATACAGTTTCATTACAGTTGCAACTTCTATCTTATTATTTTTTATGACCCTTATAACTAATACTAGCGGACTATATACTATAAATAAACTACAAAATAATACTAGCCTATTTTTCGACAAGATTGTAAACATGCATAGCTGACGATTGGAAACTCGTTGTCTATTATGATCTCTACCCATATTGGGAAGGCACCGCCGCGTCCTCGAAGTACATGGAATACCTAGAAACCATCTGTTCGAAGATAAGAGAAGTATCAATTGAATCACGAGCAGTCGGAACTACGGCGCTACAATATCATGTTGCAAGATAAGGGCGACGTACTCACACGTAAGCGCAGGGGACTCATCAATGGTGTAGGTAATATCGCAAACGCGTTGTTTGGGTTGCTTGACAGCAACTTTGCTGAAAAGTATGAAGAAGATATCGAATTAATCAGAAAAAACCAAGGACACCTAGCCCAGTTGTGGAAGAATCAAACGTCAGTCGTAGAAGCAGAGTTCAATGTCATCAAGAGGGTAGAGTCGATTATGAAAAAGCATCATAAAACTATCAACAAAAAGATGATTGAACTTGAACAATCGATGAACGCACTAAAGTCACAAGTCTCAAATAACTCATATATCAACGAATTTACCTTGGCCGCTATAGTTACAAACAACATTTTGAACAAGTTGAAAGAAATACAAACTTATCTTATTGAAACTATCGCAGACGTATTTCACGGGAAGTGTGATATTCATCTACTAACCCCCAAGCAATTCCACAACGAATTAAGTGCCATCTCTACTCAGATACCTAAAGACCTATCATTACCTACCGACCACGCGAATTATTCAAATTTATACAAATTACTTAATGTAAAAGCACGCTTATCGAAGTCATTTCTTATTTTAGACATCCGAATTCCATTATTAGCACGAGACACTTACGAAGTCGTTAACGCAATTCCCATACCTAAACAATCGGGTAGCAACATGATCAGCATTGTCCCTATTAGCGAATACCTCGCGTTAAACTTAAACATGGATTCGTTTATATCGCTATCATTTACTGATTTACATGACTGCATTGATCGTGAATTAGATACTGTATTGTGTCGATTCAAGAAGCCTATTTATCATATTATCAATGACAAGAGTTTGTGTGAGAAGGAAGAAGGATTTGGAAGCAGTAGAACAATCATTAACACCTGCAAAAATATGTTCATTGCAACAAGTAAACTTAATAACTACTTTTATTTCTGTTGTGATAAATGCTACTTCAAGTTGTTATGCGAAGATCAAGTTACGGCTATTCAATTGAGTGACGCCGGACTTATTACGCTGGGCCAGGTTTGCCTTATCAAATCAGCTGATTTCCATTTTTATGCATACAAATCAGATGCATCTCAAATCAATTCAAAGCCCGACATTGGTATACCGAAGATTGCTTCGATTAATCATTTAATAAATATCTCGATACCGGAGATGAACGCCAGCACGAGCTTGGAGACTATCAGCCAACAACAACTGCTTACCATACGAGAACAATTGGATGTCATGAAACAGACTGAGCCGTTAGCAGCAGGTGTATCCTATCACGACATTCACCATTACACCGTCCTCTACCTGGTGATTATAACGGCTGGAGTATTCGGCGGATTCTAGGTGTGGCGGCGCGTGCGACGCGCGCGGAGGCGGGCAGGTCACGATCGCGTACAAAATAAGTGTAGTGAAGTTAAGTTTAATAGTGAAGTGCAGTGTAATAGTGGAGTGAAATTTGTAGATGTAGAGTTGCAAACAAGTGCAGTGCAGTGTAACGGCGGTGATATTACTAGCGAATTAAATGAACAATTTAAGAACTCGCTTAAATTACTGACTTGACATTGGCAGAATTCTTATAAGAGAAGCCAAAAAGTAAAGAAGAAGAAGAAGAACTCGCGAAAACAAAAGCAAAACCGTAGCACCTCACCAGTGCTTCAATCGGTGTTACTATCACGGACACGGGTGTCTAAATACACTGTTATTGTCTTTATTTTGTCTTTATTTTAATTTTGTAACTAGTTTTAAGCAAAAATGTTTATCACCTTGTTATTAGTTTTAAACTCATCTCATCGTCATGACTTTCTATCTTTCAGCCCGGGAGCATGTACGGGCTGCAGCACGTACATTTTTGTAGCGTCAGCAGTTTACGCTATTACGCTAAAATAATGCATTTTGAGCCAGTGCGTTTAATTGAGCCCAGCAATACCGGTCGCGCGTGCTCGCAGTATCATTTCCCATCTATCATTAAATTAGATTTAGTTGGTTCTATCAATAAACTATCAATTATCAACTTCCCAGTATTTACTATCAACTACTGTCAAACGATATAACGTGGGGGTTCCGTCGCAGCCCCTACAACGTCCATGTCTAAGCTATACCGGCAGTTGTTGGGAGCACTAAGCTTGAAGTGGGACTAATATTCCGACTAGGTAACACAAGCAGGAAGTCGATGGATGCAGGTGGCTCAGGACCGTCCTTTGTAGCATTCCTTGGATGAGGCCTATGTACAGCAGTGGACATATGAAAGACCGTAATGATCATGATAATAATGATGATGATATATAAATAATTTTGCCGGATCTCGAAGTTTGTCCTTGTGCAATTTATGTATTTTAATTACCTTTACTAAACACTGACATATTTATATTATACATTCATATTTTTATTATATTGACAGGAATTTGGGTATAAAATGGACCTTAAACTTGTATTAAGTAACTTATAATTTAAACATACATAAATAGAAAACAGAATTGTAGGATTTCACAATTCAAAAATATTGAATAATTCCTTAAACCATTAGCCTAAATAGACTCTCTTGTATTTTGGCCTGTAATTTTTTTGATGTCTAAACAAAAATTTAATGCACGCATCTGTGTGTAAGACGCTTGCTATTGTTTAGGTGTAATAATAAATACATGAGTTGCTTACTAAGCTTACACACCACGAATTTCTGACAATGGATAGCTACTGTAGAGATGTTGCAAACTGGTAATATTACTTCGTTTGGGATTCGAACCTAGGGAAACCGCGAAACAGAAAGAATTAGTATAAAAACTCATCGTGACTACTAAACCTTTATAGAACAATATTATTATCTTCTTTACAAGATAAATATTTATGGAAAAAATTAAAAAATGGTCATCCAAAATTCAATGTATGTATAAATAAGATTTACAAAACTTGTATCCAATAAAATAATTCTATAAAGCAAGAGTTATAAATAAAACACTAAAACGATAAAACATTTCACAGCTTATATTCCAAACAGAATAATAACGGTATTCGAGAATCGCAAATCAAGTCGATTCCTCTCGATAAATTATGCAATGAACATCAATGAAAGGGGCCTTTGTTACTTGTGTGGGCCATTGTCCAGTCAAGTGTAACGTATGGAGATTGAAGTAACGGTAAATATTTATTACGCTCAGTCATACGTTACCACTCATTAAACATCAGTGGGGCAATGGAAGATTCCTTGCTCATAATTTCTTCTTCTTTGCAAGTCTACATAATTTTAACTTTTCTTATTCATTACATAATCGATGTAAATGGCTGCGTTATATATAAAACATCTAAAACGCAGCCATTTACATAATATATTCGCATATATGTGTGTTTGTGTGTGTGTGTGTGTGTGGGTGTGTGGATGACCAATTAAAATATCCTACTGGGTGCAGAATCAATCATTAGATGTTAATCTATATGTATATAAATAAAAATGGTTTTTCTATTCAATATTTTAAATCTCCATAAGTTCTTCACTGGTTGCTTAAAAATTTAAACAACGTTGCATTTGAATAGGTGCGTGTTTTTATATACTTTGATGAAACCAGAAAGCGTAGCTGTAACCTGTGATGCCCATATTCAACATTTATGACACCTATAAAACAAAATGTATTGATGGATTCTCTTAAACTGCCACCATAAGCCAACATACATTAATACAATCAAATTCGCTGGTGCTGGTTTTGTTTATTAGCACTGTTACCATTACCGTTACAGGCTTTCACAAGTCCATTGCCGAACATATTCCTCACCATGGTTTTCTTCATAGGGGATATATTTGCCTAGATTTACAGGCGGGTTAACAACCGTAGTTTATTATTTTTTACTTTTTTTAGGAAAACGCTACTGTCCATCTGTTAGTTTGATTCCTTCTGTCGCCTCTTATGACACCCTCGGGATGATATACGTAGTGGATATTCTTACACCGCCATTACACGGTCAATTTAGCTCTCTCTCTCTCTCTCTCTCTTTCTCTTTCTCTCTTT